TAGTGTACCTTACGTATGGCCTAAAACAATTCTTCTTCCAGTATGACCCAGGGAAGCCAAAATATGGGAACCCCTGAGCTACATCGTAGAGCAATTGTTCACAAGCCCATTCATATGCTACAACTACCTGGGGGGCTTCGAAAAAATTCTTATGTCTGGTTCTTAACCCAGACACGTCAAGTCTGAGCCTCTAAGAGTGGGGCCCAGGTGGAGGTACTGGTTTCAAACTCCTTTCCATTGATTCTAATGTCCAGCCAAGGCTGAGTACTGAGTGGGAAAGGAGTGGACTCAGGATCACACAGGTTAAGGGAGAAAAGCTTTGGAGAAGGCCATGATCATAAGCTGATCATGTGAAGGCCTTACCTCTTCTGCTAAGATTCTGCAGGCACAACAAAAGAAAAGAGAAGCTGGGCATGGTGGCGGGCACCTATATCCCCAGCTACACAGGAGGCTGAAGTGGGAGGATTACAAGAGCCCAGGAGTTTGAGGCTGTAGTGAGCTATGATCACGCCACTGCACTGTAACCTAGGTGACAGAGTGAGATCCTCACTCTCTAAAAAATAAAAAGAGAAAAAGTCCCAGAAATTAAGAAAAAAACCAGAACACTAGGGGAAATTACAGGATGTTCTCTGAACAGATTCTAGCCTGTAACCAGTATTTGAAAGTTACCTCAGTATTATCATTGCTGTTGGGGGCTGCCTCTATGGTTAAAGCAGTGTTAATAAGTGAAAAGGGGAAACATATCTAAATGTAGTATATGTATTTGCTCACTTATTAAGATTGGTTTTTCTTCTGTGGAAGAATCATTGTTTCATGACTATTTTCATGAACTTTTTTTCTGGCTGTGCATTCATTCTTTTTACACATGTTTTGAATTAAGATATATATCAAACAAATAGAAGATGCCTAGTCAAACCATAATAGAAGCTTTGAATTGTTTTTCATTTACTGACCTTTCCATTTCAGCACCCATTTCTGGGCTGTTTGTCGGTGGTGGGATTACGACAAAGATACAGTCCTGGGCAAGATGAATGAGGTCACTATTTACTAAGCCTTGGAAGTAGGCCAGAAACATTGTAAATAAATAAATGTAGTTAACCCTAACAAAAATGAAAATACTTCTTCCTACAGGATATTAATCAATTTTACCATAATTTCCTCTGAGTGATCGTATCCTGTGTGTCTGAGAACCCTTGAGTACTGATGTTGAGAGTCATCTGTCAGTATCTAAGAGTGGATTAACTAACAACTGTATAAGAGATATTTGAAAATTAATGAATCAGAAATTTTATCTATATATTAGAAGGCAACTATTATTTAGAACCACATTGTGACAGATATGAGATTACATCTAGTGGCATTTTGACCCCCACCCCACCAATTTCCCTCTTACAAACCTGCCATATGTTTTTCTATTTGAAATCTCTTCTGCTCACGGGTGAATGAACCACATCACTGGCTTCCTGGGAAAGTTCTTCCCACATTTATTCTTAGGTAAACATCTCTTTCTTGTGGCTTCTGGAAGGCTATTTCTTCTCCTGTTTCTAAGAATCGTTATTTTTAACCTACAGTAAGGAGAAGGGAAGGGCATGAGCCACACTAGAATTAAAGTCCCAGGACTTTGGTGAGACTACATGGGACACATCTTAAAATAGCCTAATGATTTAGTGGCTGTTTTCCCAGAGAGCTGAGAGGCACTCACATGGAGAGAAAGAAGTTTCAGGGAAGTGATGTTAGTAAGTGGGAAAGTGAGTAGTTTGTGATGTGTGTAAACCTCAGTGTGAGCCTGGGCAGTGACAACATTGTGATGCCACCTGATGGAGCTAAAACTAAAACGAGGAGGAGGCAATGCAGAATATTAAACAGATAACAGTTCATAATGCAAGAGTTTGTCTAGTCTTCACTTAGAAATTTACAAAACAGTTCAGCTAAGAAACAGATAACAATACACTATTTTTGCACATAATTTTTTGGCCATTTCCATCAAGCTATTTACATGGTATTTTGTGGTTCGAAACTATTTGTCTGTTTTTAATCTTCTGGGTGGCTTTGTCTAGAAAAATAGATTTGTTTCTAAATATTGGATGTAATTGTAATGAAAGTGTCTATTAAACATGCCATGTTTTTGTGAGCCCCATCCTCTCCTGTCCTTGATTTTCCTCTTGCTCAATTGTCTTAACTGAGTGTTGACTATAACTTCACAAAAACTTTAGTATTTTCAGAGGGTATTTATTAACGTGGCTTGTAGTAAATAACAGGAACTTCTTGTAGACTGAATCTACCATTTGTTATCTATTTTATCTATTTTTGACAGTAAAAAATCAATTTTAATGAAAACTGAAAATTGTATTATAATGAAAATGAAAATGCCTTGTTTGTCATTCTGTTTTACTTTAAATTCTATTGATTTGGCATCAGGTAGCCACAATAACAACTCCCTGTTTCTGACCTTACTTACCTCCCACACACAATTTTTTTCCCTCCTACCATCTTCCCTGTTTTCCCCTTCTCTTTTCCTGTCATTTCTGTCTTCATCCCTTGCTTTCTCAATTTAACACGGAGACTTTATGTGTCCACCTGGACCATTCTTTATCAAGGTTTGAGCCACAGCAAGGCTCCTTTCCAAATCTAATAGCAACCATTGCCATTCAGCCCTAGCATTCTTTGTCCAGACCTAGTCTTAGTCCTCCTCCCTTCAGTCTAGTTCTCCAGGAAGCCATTACCAGTTAGTGGGAGTTGTCATTATTCTATGTATATGCTGTCCAGAAAAACATTCTCTGCATTTCACAGTAACAGTATTCCTGACCATGAGAACCACTTAGGGCAGGGATCCCCAATCCCTGGGCTGTGGATGGGTACTGGCCCGTGGCCTGGTAGGAACTGAGCTGCACAGCAGGAGGTGAGTGGTGGATCAGTGAGCATTGCTGCCTGAACTTTGCCTCTGTCAGATGATCAGTGGTGGCGTTAGATTCTGGTAGGAGTGCAGACCCTGTTGTGAACTGCGCAGGCATGGGATCTAGGTTGTGCTTTCCTTGGGAGAATCTAATGCCAGATGATCTGAGGTGGAACAGTTTTATTCCAACCCTCACCACTGCCCATGGAAAAATTGTCTTCCATGAAACCAGTCCTCGGTGCCAAAAAGATTGGGAACCGCTGACCTAGGGTAATCAGGGCCTCACCTGGACCTGCTGAAGCAGAATCTCTGGAGGAGGGGCTCAAATATTTTCTTCACTTCAGTTGTGATTAAAGGTTTTGTTTTTCCTCAATGACATTTTAGAAAACAAAAGTATAAACAAACATCTTCCCACACTCCTTAAACAAAATCTCTCCTACCCAGAAGACTTAGTGCAAATAATTTCACTTCTCAAATATTACCTTACCAGGCATGGTGGCTTATGCTGGTAATCCCAGCACTTTGGGAGGTCAAAGCAAGAGGATCACTTGAGGCAAGAGTTCAAGACCAGCATGGGTAACATAGTGAGACCCCCATTGGTACCAAAAAAAATAAGTAAAAATATTAGTCTGTATCTTTGTAAGGGTTCTGAGTTTGCCCAGGAAACTACATTTAGGGGTCAACATTATAGGAGGAGACAAAGTGCCAATGATATAGAGAGAATGGTCACCATAAATTCATGAAAACTTGGTACCTAGTGACCAGTGTTCAAAATTAACAAACCCAAGTTCCACATCCTTATCCAATCAAATTGATGCTAATGTATTTAACTGCCAGGAATTAAGAACAGATGCAATAGAATTTTCAGATGCCAACTAAAGAGGGTGAAAATAAAGACAGCAGAAAGAATCTTAGGATACTGCATCTTACTCTCCCCTAAAGTAACTTATTTGAAATTACTTAACATAGGATTTTATTTTATTTTTATTATTTTTTTTTATTATTTTTTTTTGAGACGGAGTCTAGCTCTGTCGCCCAGGCTGGAGTGCAGTGGCCGGATCTCAGCTCACTGCAAGCTCCGCCTCCCGGGTTCACGCCATTCTCCTGCCTCAGCCTCCCGCCTAGCTGGGACTACAGGTGCCCGCCACCACGCCTGGCTAATTTTTTGTATTTTTTGTATTTTTTAGTAGAGACGGGGTTTCACTGGGTTAGCCAGGATGGTCTCGATCTCCTGACCTCATGATCCGCCCGTCTCGGCCTCCCAAAGTGCTGGGATTACAGGCTTGAGCCACCGCGCCCGGCAACATAGGATTTTAATAGGAACCCAGCTATAACGCAAAGAATTTTTGCTAACAAAAAAATGATCACTGTGAAGACCACTTCTTATATAGTATAGAAGCACTATCTAGTACATGAGTATTTTATTTATGTTTGGCTATTCATGCATTTAGCCAAAGTGTCTATTGAAGTTTTTTATTTACTACTGAGATAATCTGGTTTTCCAAATCACTTTATCTCTGTTGAAAACATGAGTCATATTCCAATAAATGTAAACATAGGGCAGTTTCTTATAAACGCAAGGCTTTATTGGTATGCTAATTCTATGTTCCACTTTCCGCATGCTTAATCATCACCTTCCAGCTCCAATAAATTGTACCTTAATTGCTGAGAATGTTTTATAGTCTTTCTATTCTTAATATCTCAGTAGAAGAAACATTTTTTAAAGTGCTCTGATAATATTGCTTACATTGTTAGATAAATGGCTAAATCTTTTCCAAACGTTAGACACAGCGGTTGTAGTTGCACAACCTGGTATTAGCTTTAACTGGTTTTCCCACTCCTAGTCCTGTTAGCTATCTCTTATATGATTGAGTCTATCTCTTCATGGTGCTACCAGTCGGAGGTCATTTCTACAACAAAAGTCACCTTGTATTAGAGAATAATTACGTTGGCACAGAGTAATTCACATTTATCCTCACATTGTGCACTGAATATAAGATAGAGAAGTAGTTAACGGAAAAATACTAGGGATGAGTGCACAGTTTTATCTGCTTTTGTAGAGTGTTTTCAATACAACTGATGATAAAATTATTTTCAAATGCTATAGGTAGCCCTAATGGAGAACCTTGTGGAAAGACTTGTTTGGAAGAGAGAGACAATCAGTGGTTGGGGGTCACACTTTCCAGACAGCCAGGAGAAAATGGATCCATCGTGGTAGGTATTGGAACTGGTCCACTGATCCATCATGAAATCAGCTATCCTGGGTGCAGCTTTCACATCATTTGGTCTACTTTTATTTTATTCAGACTTGTGGGCATAGATGGAAAAATATATTTTACATAAAGAATGAAAATAAGCTCCCCACTGGTGGTTGCTATGGAATGCCCCCTGATTTACGAACAGAACTGAGTAAAAGAATAGCTCCGTGTTATCAAGGTAAGGCAGCATTTTGATACTAATTAGATAAAGATAAGTAAGTGAATATCTCTTAGTGTTTTAAATGTATGTTCAAGTTTAGATGTTCAGAAGAGAGGGAGATCTTCTGAGTAATTATGTTCTTTTTAGCTACTCAATTTCTTTCTTTACCTAATTGCAATAGCATTATTTTTCATAAATGTACTTTGCTATAAAAATTCTACAATTTGAATAACTCTGAAATCTAGCTGGTAACTATCCACTTTTGCATTAAATTTACTTTCAATTTGGTGTGAGTGAGACTAGTACCCAGCAAATAAAGGACATTTAAATTGTGAAATTATATTGGAAGTCTGATTAATAAGAAAGACTTTAGGTTTTCTGTTACCTTTAGCTTCCAGGAGTAATCAGGAAGAATAATCAGTGTAAGCAAATCCTTCGTTCACACTCACTATCTCTTTTTTCTAATTCACGTGTTTTCCTTTAAGCAGCAAGAGATTGGTGTCTTGAGTTTGAAACATTTTTCTCATGGTAACTCTATGCTATAGGTAGCATCAGCAAGTACAGAGCTAGGACATAACAGAAGTGAGCAGAATTGGGGTGAATGTCAACAGAGCATGTCAGATGATATCTGCAGCAAAACTAAAATCCAACAATGTGTCTTTAGGTAGCTAAGAAACATATGAATGCAAATTTCTAATTTTCTAACCACCCTCACTCTCAAATCTCTCAGCACCCAAAGAAAAATTGTACTGGTTGGCAAAACTTTGGCCAGGTATTTGAGTTCAATTATTGATGCTAATAAGATGTGGGTCTTTCTTCCCTGGAATGTGACATCACAAAGCAGCTTATATTACATATATTCCTATTTTGCCTTTGGATACCCAAAAGGTAAAAAAGTGAATATTGATTCTCAGTTGCAATAAAACTCAGTCTTGGTTTCTGATTGCTATCTTCTTTTACATAATAGTTTTCAGTTTATCTTTAAAACATTTTCATAGTAGAGTTTTTTATTTTTCTCAGATATACCTAGCCACATACTGTAAAAATCTCAAAATGCCATAAACCTAACACATCTACAATTGTAAAATACAGGATCATGTAAGATATATATTTTTAAAAGGGATGAAAACTTCTGACTATAAGTGGTCATTATAAATGACTTACCAATTTATTTAAGTTTTCTGCTTAGCAAAGCCAAAAGGAAGCTGTGGTTCCAATTCTTATTTTCATAGAAGTTTACTTATATCAGTTTTTTGGAAGAAGCAAAGCTTTGCCCCCTTAGTAAGTTCCGAAAGCGTTCATTCATGGGGTTTTGTAATAAGAGACCTTTATGTCCATGCAGATCTTGATTCAGTCTATATTTTCAGTTGGGCAAAATCTAAGAAAGGAGACTCTCTTCAATAAATGGTATTAGCAATAGCAAAGACATGGAGTCAACCTAAATGCCCGTCAATGTCAGACTGGATAAAGAAAATATGATACATACACACTGTAGAATACTACATAGCCATAAAACATAAATAGATTATGTCCTTTGCAGCAACTTAGATGGAGCTGGAGGTCAATAACCTTAAGCGAACTAACACAGGAACAGAAAACCAAATACCACATGTTCTCACTTATAAGTGGGAGCTAAACATTGAGTACATATGGACACAAGGGACACAAAGTAGGCACAAACACTGGGGCCTACCTGATGGTAGAGGATGGGAGGAGGGAGAGAATCAAAAAACTACCCATCGGGTACTATGCTTATTACATGCATGGGGAAATAATCTGTACACCAAACCCCCGCAACACGCAATTTATGTTGCAACAAACTTGCAAATGAACCCTGAACCTGAAAGTTTTTTTTTTTTTAATGCCTTTGGGAAAATTGGCTATACGCATGCAAAAGAATGAAATTGAACCCTTATCTTAGCAAATATACCAAAGTCAACTAAAATGGGTTAAAGACTTAAACATAATACCTGAAACCACAAAACTTCTAGTGGAAAACATAAGAGAAAAGCTACTTGACATTAGACAATGAGTTTCTGGAAATTATACCAAAAAGTCAGACAATAAAAGCAAAAATAAATGAGACTACATTAGAAAGCTCCTGTATAGCAAAGGAGACAATCAACAGAGTGAAGAGGCAGTCTATAGAATGGGAGATAATATTTGCATAATTCTGATAAAGGGTTAATATTTAAAATATATAAGGATCTCACCAACTCGATAGCAAAAAACCAAATAACCTGATTAAAAAATAGTCAAGAGAACAAATGACTTTCTTTCCAAAGAAGGCATCAAAATGGCCAATACGTAGATGAAAAGGTGCTCAACATTACCTATCATCAAGGAAATGCAAATTACAAACCACGATAAAGTATCACTTCACACCTATTAGAACTGTCATTATGAAAAAAGTTAAGAGATAACAACTGTTGGCGAAGATGTGGAGAAAATGGAACCCTTGCACACTGTTGGCGGGAATGTAAATTGGTACAGCCATTATAGAAAACAGTAGAGAAGTTACTCAAATTAAAAATAAAACTACCATATGGTCTAACAATCCCTCTTCTGGGTATATATCCAAAGGAAATGAAATCAGTACCACATAAAGAGATCTGTGCTTTTATGTTCATTGCAGCAGCATTCACGATAGCCAAGTTACAGAAACAACCTTAGTGTCCATTGACAGATGACTGAATGGATAAGGAGTTGTGAGATGTATGTATACACACATATATACATAAACATATACAATGGAGTATTATTCAGCCTTTAAAAAAGGAAATCCTGACTTTTGTGACAACATGGATGACCCTGAAGGACGTTATTTTAAGTGAAATAAGCTAGGCACAGAAAGACGTACTGTATGATCTCACTTATCTGTGGAATCTAAAAAAGTCAAATACATAGAGAAGAAGGTGAGAAGAGAGAGGGTTAGGATGGGGAGATGTTGGTGAAAGTGTACAAAGCTGCATTTGTGTAGGATGAATAAGTCTAGAGATCTAATGTACAGCATGAGGACTGGAGTTAATTATTGTGCACTGGAAGTTTGCCAAGAGAGTAGATTTCACTCTCAATGCACAAAAAAGGTGACTGAGGAGATATGTATGTTAAGTGTAGTAACTGTTTCACTATGTATATATATGTCAAACATGATGTTGCACACCTTAGATATATACAGTAAAAAGAAAACATGGACTCAAAATCATAAATCCTACCTCTGTCTTATTTTACAAAATTTTTTTGAGTATATGCTGTGTGTGCTTCCTATGAGAAGAAGCAGAGGGAGATATTTTAATTGCCATTTTATAGGAATATTTTGAATATTCATATGGAAGGGATTTGTTAAATTATATCAAGGTTACTGGTTTTTATTTTTTAAAAAGTACAAACTATAGACCTTAAAGTACATTTCTGTAAGAATTTAAGAAATAAATTATGAAGATTATATCTTTATTTTAAGATATAATTCTGAGTTGTTTTAATATTTCATTTTAGATTATGTGAAAAAATTTGGAGAAAATTTTGCATCATGTCAAGCTGGAATATCTAGTTTTTACACAAAGGTAATTGTTCAAAAAATAGCTGCTATAAATGTTAACATATAGAATCTTAATTCTTCTCATGGTTTGGAAGACTGATATGTTTTAAAGTAAAAACTGTGCAACATCTTCCTGTCTTTTAAATTTGAGCATTACAACTTAATTTTTGCCACTCAAAAATTCCACATATATTTCAATAAAATATCAATATTTAGATGGCTATGCTACATAAGATGGACTAAAATCTATAGTGAAGAATATTTTTTCAATAATTTAATGAAAAAAGTAGCTACAGTTAATTATCTTGTTAACTTAGGTATTGAAAATAACCCAAGTGTGTTATTTTAAATTTCTAGTTGCGGGGCAAAGAAAGCATATTAGTCTATATTTTTCATTAAAATTATTATAATTGGGAAATTTAAGAACTTAATATCCCCTTAAATCAGATAGATAATATTCCCAAGATTTTTTATTCTCTTTTTAACATTCTAGGATACGTATGAAAGGGCACAGTTGTGCTCAACCCCAAATCTCTCAGTTTTTCTTAAAAACACACTGTGGATTCAGGAATGTTTTTTGAGTCCATGAAGATCAGGCTATATCAAGTTTGGGGTTGACAGTGTCTGCAAATATTAACAGTTATATTAAAATGCTTAAAATGCTTACAAAGAAAATGCTTTATTCAGTTTAAGTTGACTTTTTTAAAGTTTAGGATTGTTTAGGAATATAGAAATATGCTAAAGAGATTTAATTGCTGAGAGTTTTCATACTACACCAGACAAGGGCATGGTCATTCCAATCTTCTCCTCCTAAATTCCTATGTATAACAAAATGTGCCCCATATTCCATTGGACTTTTTTCCCCTAAGCTAACATTATTAGAAAAATTAGTGGTTCTTTGCAAATTGAAATAAATTAAGTCCACTTTTTATTCTTTGGCAACACATGATCATCTCTGTAATTAGCACTCATGAATTACCCACATATGATTTTAATAGGAACCATATTGCCTGTCTCCCAAAAGCTTACCCTAGAGTTCAGTACTTCTCCCTTCAACTTTTGAAATCCACTGATAAATGCGTTAAATGAGAATTTCAGAGTTTCTTCTCTGAGATTTCACTTTTAGGTAGAAATCCATTAGCCAACGTCTCTGGTTTTTTTTTTTTTTTGTATGTTTTAACTTCACAGAATATTCCTACTTCAGGAATTTGTTATTATAAAAATATGTTCTCTTCACTATCTATTGTGTATCTGGAGGAGGTTTGGGGTGGTGAGCTTAAACTTTAAATAATAATAGTTTTTTTTTTTTTTTCCCCTACAGGATTTAATTGTGATGGGAGCCCCAGGATCATCTTATTGGACTGGCTCTCTTTTTGTCTACAATATAACTACAAATAAATACAAGGCTTTTTTAGACAGACAAAATCAAGTAAAATTTGGAAGTTATTTAGGTACTATAAAAATGGACAAACTTAAATGATCTCTACCTTACAAATACTAGTGCTATAATTATAAATAAGGAAAATATATTTTCCAAAGATGTAAGTGGCTAGTATAATTACAGTAATAATTAGGCAGTTAAGAAACTGTCTCTTAAGTATAGGATTTATGAAACTTTAGTTAACTTAATATTTTACATTTACACATGTGACTAAAATAATCAATATATAATTCTTAATAGAACTCCTAGTTTAGTTTACTCTTTGTAGTTCACTTTAGGAAACACTAGTAAGTTTGTATCTTTATGTAGTCAACCGATTATACAGGTTGTTTCTGTTGAGTGCCTCCCATATCTCAGGAACTTTTTGTGAGAACTTTACGTGAATTAACTCATTTAAACATCTGTGTAAGTATAGTTTCCTTAAGGACCAACTTAAAGCCAGTGGTACTGTCCACCACATTCCAGATGAGGGGCTCCGTGAAGCATATGGGTCTACAAACGGCTCATTGACCTTCACCTCATAAGTTCTTAGAATATTTCCCAGAGTTTAACTATTTTTATCATCTTCCTTCTCCTCACTATCATCTCCTAAGTCAATAGCAGGATATTTTATCATCTGTATTTCAACAGAAATGCAAAGTTTTCTTGCATTAATGTCCATTACAAGAAAACAAATGCTTTTCCTATAGATTTTCAGAAAATCCATGTTTGTTTAAACTGTATGTGTGTCAAATGTGAGCATCTTACACTCAGAAATAATTATAAAACAAGCACTTTCTTTCCATTCAAACAGAAGAAATTTCAAGTAGAAGAATTTGTTACAATTCAATGTTTTCTTGTTTATGATTAAAGGATTGTTTGAAATAGTTCAAGAAATATAAGTTGATATGCCTTTTATTACATAAAATCACCTTTTGTCATCAAAAAGTCATCACAAAAGAAAGATTTGGTGGCAAAAGAAGCTGAACTTTTGCAGGATTTTTATTTAAGGTTTAAAGTTTTCATTTCCCAATTAAGATGTTATATTTAATATACTCTAAAATATGTCTGTTGTAATCCTAGAAACTGATTATACTGCACCAGATGTAAAGATGCTATTTTCAATTTCTAGGACTTGAAAATACAAACCATATGATTGCAGTTTTGTAACATATATCAAAATTGCATAAAACATAATGAATGACTGATTTTGAGTATCTCTATGCTAAATATTCTTAACTGCTTAATGTAGTCATTTTGAATTGGGTATCACTTAATTTTATGATCTATTTTACCCATATTACCATATGATGTACTTTACCCAGGACTCTCATACTTTCTCCCTTAAAGGATATTCAGTTGGAGCTGGTCATTTTCGGAGTCAGCATACTACTGAAGTAGTTGGAGGAGCTCCTCAACACGAGCAGATTGGTAAAGTAAGAATTACATTTTTATATTTATTTCTTCACAAAGGTTCAAATACATTGCATGAATAAGATATTAAAGGAGAAACTGCATACGTAAGGAAAGAAAGATTAGAAATGATGAACAGGTTATTACATTTAGTGGAACTGGTGAAAGATGTTATGGTTTTAGAGGAAATTTAGCAAAACACTTTCTGAAAAATTACAAAAGTCAAATGAGACTTTGTTTCCTTTAAGAAAATTATAAGATAGAACTATCTAAAAATGTCCAGGGAGTATATGGTGAACAGTTTCACAGCTGAAAAGAAGTTGAGGCAACTATATATTTTGTGGTAAGACTAGAAAGAAGGAAATATTATTTCTGGTTTTAGTTTTTGCTATGTTGCTATGTGAACATTGGTCACTCAGCTTTTCTGAGTCTTACTTTTGAAAAGTGAGGCAAACAACACTTCCTGTGTCCCCTCTATAGGATCAATAAAATACTTCCTGAGAAAATACTTTTGCAAGTAAGGCATATTAATGTAACAGTGGATCCCAAACCCTTTTGTGTCACTCTTAAAAGGATTTATTTTTATATTTGAGCAATTAACTGCAAGTTGTAAAAATTCATGTTTCGATCAAACAGAAATGAGTGGGGTTTTAAAATATATATGGTATTCATAAAAACTTTTGTAATTATTTCCCCAATTACAGGCATATATATTCGGCATTGATGAAAAAGAACTAAATATCTTACATGAAATGAAAGGTAAAAAGGTAATATGTCTCCACCTTTAGTATCTCTGTGGGCTCTTGCCAGTAACCCTGCTTTTTTCTCAATGAGTGGATCTGGTTTGTTTTGGGACAGCTTGGATCGTACTTTGGAGCTTCTGTCTGTGCTGTGGACCTTAACGCAGATGGCTTCTCAGATCTGCTCGTGGGAGCGCCCATGCAGAGCACCATCAGAGAGGAAGGAAGAGTGTTTGTGTACATCAACTCCGGCTCGGTATGTCCAAGTGTCCTAACTGGAAGCCATTTATGGAATTATGATCAAAACTGAAATTGGTCTTATTCCAGAGATCTGAGATTATTTTCAGGGTTTTTTTATTGACAAAAGTTAAAATTCTAATACTGTACTGATGCTGTAAAAATGAAATGGAATATGCAGATGAATGGGAAAGTATCTCATTTTGATATTCTAGAACAATCTATGAAATAGATTGTTAGGGAGTTTCTCTGTTCACAGCTTGTGTGTGTTCACTCTGGTAGCTGAAATTTCTTTCAGTTTTATGTTGATACTAATCTAATTTGAAAGAATAATTTTTATACCTCCTTCAAAATATAGATTTCTTAATAGTTCTGGTTAGGGTCCTTATATAAATTATAAAACATTACAAGGACTAGAAGATGAATAATTAAGTATTTTCAATTTCTTAATTTGAAAACAATTAGAAACAAGATGTGTTTTGTTAAAACATTAATTTTCATAATTCATATATATTATGCTCTTGATAAGAATATAAAATTGGCACAGTTTATTCCACAGTGGATATATTAATTGTATACATAGGTAATTACTGACTATAATTCAATTTTAAATTATTGTGGTAGAAACTGACCACTTGATAATTCAAAGACTTTCTGGCCTTATCTTGCCAGCCTAGATTCTTGACATTAGGTCAAAACAAAAAATTTATGGAGTCTTAATGAGATCTTCTTGGCCTGTTCCTTTGATTTGAAAACAAGAGTGGGCTTGTGAGAAGACCAGTTCATTTCGAATGGCATAGCATTTTTCAGTCAGGATTCAACAAAGTGGACTCTGTTTCAAGAAAGTATTTGTAACTATGTTCAGTCAATGGTTTCAGAGCATTTAGCAAGTTCTTATATTAAGCATCAGACTAAACTCTACAATTTAAGAAAGAAAACATCTAGTCTTATAAATGGAAGATTCTCAAAGTTTAAAATACAGAGCAGGGAAGTTATTTATGCTTTGGAATTTCCTAGACTGTATTTAACCTACATTTAATAGTAAAAGCAAATTATCTACACAGTGATCATTAAATCTCATTAATAGTGATATCAGATAATTTTCTTCCATAGATTTCACATTTCCATTTCCAAAAATAGTGGTCTTTGTACTGGCTACATCCTCATGCTGCAGATTTCTCTTATCTTCCTCTTTACAACTAAACATCCACATGTATACCTAAAGTAAAGCAACATAGAATAATTTTCCCCCATTGCAATCTTAATCTCATTAAGAAAAAAAAAAGGAAAAACAGATAAACCCTTCTACCCACTTGGCTACCCTTCTGTTCTTCCATCATGCCTACCTCGAGGCACTACTCTTATTAAACACTTGAATTAATTTAGTAAGTGATTTCAGCTTTTAAATCCTCTGATATAGTCTTCCTTTGTTCCATTTAACCTCTAATCTCTCAACCCTCTGAAATGGCGCTAACCACTAAGTGGCATTTATTTACATTGATTCGATTTGCTGTTGTCTGTTCTTCTGTAGTATAGATGCCATGTGGAGAGATATTGTGTCTTGTTTACCGCTGTTTCATCAGGGCTTGAAAGAGTCCTAGACAAGTAGGTGAAATTGTTTTTGAATGAACTCAAGAAAGAATGATACTTGGGTGACTCTGGCTTCTACCTACTTGTACTAAAATAGCTCTCAGGGGTTCCCAGTGAACTCTCAGTCACCACTCTCTGTGACTAGGGAATACTTGAAGAATAGTGATCACCTCTTCCTATTGAAACTCTCCTTCCAGAACTTCAGAGCCATTGCACTGTCTTAAGTCTGTACCTTGTCTGTTCTCCCTGGAGCCTTTTCACCCTTCTGCTCTTTAATTTAGACATTTGCCCAGGAGCCAAGCTGTTTTTTCCCTGACTTCTTTGAATCAATCATTTGCTGCTTCAGCGTCAAGTGATTATAAAGATGATTCCCAGTCATCTTAGTTCATTTAAAATAAAATAAATGACATTTAGTGAGTATCTGAAATGTAACCAGGACTATAAAAAGAGGTAATAATCATAGAGCTGTCCCCAGGACTTCAGGATCTTGTGAAGACACCAATAGGAGTAAACAATTGACTACGACGTGATACATGGCACATTGTAAGTACCTACGAAGTGGAAGAAGTGATTCCCTTTGGGTCAAGAAGCTTTTACAGAGGAAGTAGTGTTTGAGAAAGACAAAAATCAGAATTTTTCTTTTGGAAAATTCACAAATGAAGACACTTGACAAGGAAAGAACGTGTATATGCTTAAGGAGTGCCAAGTAGATTTGAGAAGAAGAAAGGATATGGCCTTTTCTCTTTTTAATACAAAGGACTGACATGATCAAAGTTTGTGAAGAGAACTGATAGCTGTGATTGTAACAGCTAATTATTACATTATTGAATGTCTTATTGTAGTAACTCATCTTCCTCCTTCCTAGTTATCCATTGACTAATCTATGCTCCACTGCTGCTGGTTCCAAAGACCAACTTCAAGCATGTCACTCCTCAACTCAGAAACCTTCAGTGTTTCCTGTTGTTCCCTAAATTAAGAGTAAATTTTCCTTGACAATCAAGATGCCACACTATAAGACTGCAATCTGACATTTTTGTCTCATTCATTATACATGCCATTCATTAGAGCCAAATTCTTTGGAATTTGTTTTGCTGCTGGTTTTCTCTGTGTATCAAAATTACGCTTATCCTTCAATAGCCACCTGGCATGCCATCTCCTTTATGAAGTCTCTTCTGTTATAATTAGATTTTTTATTTATTTATTTTTGCTTCTTGATATGGTAAAGCAGTTTCTGCTTCTCAGTCATTTGTATGCTTGGGCTAAGCCCTCCCTGTAACTGTGGGCTTATTGAAGAAAGGGAATGTGTTTTATACACACACTTCCTTGCCCCCTTTCACCTTTTCACTCTTTGCACAGTGTGTTGTCTTTAGTAGAAGCTCAATAAATATTTGCTAAATTGAATTATCAAAATGATTTATTGGATTTTCAAAGCTAGAGATCATGAGTTTGACAATTTTTTATGTCCTCCGAGCTCTAATCATACTATTATGTGTTGACAGACTCAATAAATATTTATTGAATTGAACTGAGATGTGTGTACTAAAGCTCAGTCTGTAGTTTGTCCAACTTGTTTGACGCATTAGAAAAAATCCATATCCAATTACAACAGTAAATTGTGTAAAGTTGTCAGGGAGTGTTATAATGATACCGTTTCTCCCCCTTTCTATCTAGGGAGCAGTAATGAATGAAATGGAAACAAACCTCGTTGGAAGTGACAAATATGCTGCAAGATTTGGCGAATGTATAGTTAATCTTGGTGACATTGACAATGATGGCTTTGAAGGTAATTAAAATTATCAATTTGGTGCTTGATTTCTGCTTTTAAAATGGTTTATGGAAGAAAATATGATTAAAGTTTTGTGTTGTTTACCTTCCTATAGAAAATGGAGCCAGAATGGCATGCTAAGTTTTTTCTTTAGTGTTATGTATGACTTCTCAGTTTGTCACCCATTGATCTTTACCACTGTTAATAATGGATGATATTCAAAATACTTTATTTCAGTGATTCTAAGGCACCATTGATTAGAAACTGCATTGTTATTTATGTGTCCCTAAAAGCTGCCTATTAAGCTCTTAATGCCCACTATTTTTTCATGTTAAGGAAGACCCTGATTTCAGAAATAATAAAATATGGGCAGGAAATGTGTATCATAGACTCACTGGACCATGGTATTTAACTATCAGTACAATAAAGACACTGACCAAACCCAACAGAGGCTGGCTGCAGAGCTGGAGCAGGGTTCTGGAAACCCTCTGCTCTGCCAGGCATTCCCTATAGCCATGTTATGGGAGGATCTGGGGAATTTGAGAAGAGATTCTGCGCAGGCCACTGGGAAGCCTGGGGACAGTGGCTGTTTACCCACTGATATTGAAGTTTTTCACTAACTGAATAGATGGTAGTGTGGTAACTGTGCATATCGCCATGGATGTCAGTCCTGTTGTTGAAATCCCTGCATGTACTAGCATTCTCTATTAAAAATTTGCTTTTATCAATCTAGTTCTAAGTGGTAAGTAACTGAGTCTGTTAGAATTGTGCATGAAATGATGAATAGGTTTAAGAGGAGAGTGTGCAGTTTCCTGGAGTTCAGCACATAAGTATTTGATACTTATTTTTAGGGTTCATAATTGTCTTCTTGATAAGGCCATTGGCAATTAGTATTCGGTAATTTTAGGCTACAGCTTTCTCAGAGATTAAAGTAATGGGGTACTATAAATTCTCATCTTCTTAATGTCTTCTTGTACCTAGATACCAGAATCTACTTTAAATATATAAAATGCGTTATTCTACACGAAAAGTCAGTTATTGAATACATGCTTCCAGGGAACCTTCTTAAACGTAAAATAGTGTAACTATGTTATACAAGTATTACTGTTCTGGATTTTTTGTTTACTATTTTAAAACTGAAAGAGAAAAAATATATGTATATACTTTTGGTTATTATGATTACACATAATATTTTAATAAAACATGTATGGAGGAGAGCCTCTCTGTACCCCACCCATCACTAGCTTCCCCCTACTTCCCTTACCCTACCAGAACCCCAGGTTGGGCACTGGCTCATTTTCACAAATAACCTCATCCTGGACAGGGGTGAGGGAAGGTGTTGTGGGTATTTTGTTTAATTGGAACTGTAAGAGGGATCATGTCTTGTTTTATGCCCTTCCTAGAAAGGGGGCGGGACACCTGGTTTGCACTCCTGTATTGGCCATTGCTGCCGTCACTCATCACATTGAGTTCACATCCCTTGAGAGTTTGTATACATTCAGGTCAGCACTGCTCCTGTGCAGCCATCCAGTGTCATAGAAAAGCAACTCACTGATAACTGATCTCTCCATTCAGAAGTGTGCAGTTTTAATGTACAGCAATAAGAAACTGTTATTTTATTATCTTTATTAAAAGTCTGATTTGATTAAAAACAAAAAATTTTATTATGTTTGATGTTACATCTCATAAGTAACCAGCAATTCTGTGATATTTATTGAACATTTATTTTGGGTCAGATGTACCATATCAGGTACAGACCATGTACTATAATAAATGAAAATGAAGAAAATAGTGGCACCCTTTTTTATAGTTCTACAATCAAGTAGAAAATAAAAGTAATACTTGAAAACATAAGCCTTATTTAGTGGCAAATTTAAGGGTTCTACCTAATAAAGACCTGCGGATAAAACCATGTTTATGCATTTTGATATGTCATGTGTGTTGTATAGACAACCCAATTCTTTCTTTTAAAAACACAAAATCACTGTTTAGTAAAACACTTTGTTTATGATTTTTCTGTCTTGTTTTAATTGGCACATTTAAGGAAGACCACTATTACCCTTTTGAATGTGAAAAATATATGTATGTACACATAGAAATTATTTTTGTGGCATCAAAATGTCAATGACAAATTTGAATTATCATTATCGTTATAGTTAGAGCTGTAAAACTGTCATGAGCAATAGGCAAATTCCCTTATTAGAATTACTCTAGTACCTGGGAAAAGCTCAAGTAATTTTCTAGTGGTGTGAAGGACAGACAGCGAGTATTCTGTCAATGAGACTTAGGAAGAGGACTTCGGAGGGGACTTTCAGGGGACAGTGCAGTCTCTTAGTTTGTATAGGAGACCCTGGGCTTCACATAACTCTTGTTTCGCTGAAAACCCTCAGCACTCCACTCCTAAAGGTAATACCTTTATATCTGGAAGGTTATTATGCAAATGATTTTTTAAAGTATTTCTGCATATTTTTGTGCTATTTATAATGCCTTTTATAATTCACAGCATATTTACATTTAGTGGCTACATTAACACTTCAGTGAGTGTTTATAATGCCATATATCTTTTTCTACTTGGTCCAGTTCTTTTTTTTTTTTTTTCCTTTTTTTGAACCAGAGTCTTGCTCTTGTCGCCCAGGCTGGAGTGCAGTGGTGTGATCTTGCCTCACTGCAACTCTGCCTTCCGGGTTCACGCCATTCTCCTCCCTCAGCCTCCCGAGTAGCTGGGACTACAGGCACCTGCCACCATGCCTGCTGGTTAATTTTTTTGTGTTTTTAGTAGAGACAGAGTTTCCCTGTGTTAACCAGAATAGTCTCGACCTCCTGACCTTGTGATCCACCCGCCTTGGCCTCCCAAAGTGCTGGGATTACAGGCATGAGCCACCATGCCCCCGGTCCTCCAGTTCTAATTTTATCTTCTATTTTGCCCATAAGTAGGCATTTTCTATATTTTAGATATTAGCAAGACCATTGCTGATGTGGAAACAGGGTGAGTGTGTCCTATTCCACCATGTCTGCCTGCATGAGACAGCAGGAATTTACAAGTTCTTTTTCTTTATGTGTTTCTTTATTACTTTGCCCCATCTTGTCTTATTTTATTTTTCTGGGGTGAATGGGTAAAGATACATTGTGTTCATGGCAAGAAGTGTAGGATTATGTAGAAAGAGACTCCAATATTGGATGCAAATCACACTTAATGTCTTTATTATGCAAATTTTTGTGGTACTTTGTGTAGCAAAACCTAAGTTATCTTGGCATTTGTCATATCACTTTTCAGTTGTTCTCAAACGGAAAAAAAAAAATCAGACTCTATTTCCTGTGTCCTTAGAAAAGCAACACAAGCCATTTTCTAAAAAGATGACCAATTGATTTGGCAAAAGTTTAGTGTAAAACTCCTCAAAAGCATGAAAAAATTGGTCAGACTAATATATCTGACATGACCAACAGCAGATAGCATTTTTTATTTCATATGTAAAATAGACTTGACAAGACCGCTATTTATCGGTTTAGTTTCTTTTTTCACCTTGAGCCTTATTATCTGACTTTTAGACAATATGTTTGAATATTTTTAGAGCAGAACCATAAGTTCTACAATTGTAAATTACAAGCTGTACTATTACTTTGTGTGCACCTGAAATATTGATATATCATCAAATCATTAAGTGAGCACTTCTGTTTTATTTGTTTATAGAGTACAAGTGCCATTTTGTTACATGTATCGATTACATAGTGATCAAGTCAGAGCTTGTGGGTATCCATCATCCAAATAACATACATTTTTACCCATTAAGTAATTTCTCATCATCCACCCCCCACAACCCCTTTCCTTTCTGAGTCTTCATTGTCTATCATTCTACTTTATACATCCATGTGAACACATTTTTAAAGCACTGATTTATGAGTTAAGAGCATGTGTTATTTTACTTTCTGTGCCTGGCTAGTTTCACTTAAGATAATGATACCCCCCACCAGTTCCATCCCTGTTGCTGCAGAATACATGATTTCCTTTTCTTTAATGGCTGAATAGTATTCGTGTGTGTGTGTGTGTGTGTGTGTGTGTGTGTGTGAGAGAGAGAGAGAGAGAACCTCTTTGACACAGAACAGGAATCAGTATTAGGAAGGGAAATTTGGGGGTATGACCTCTGTTGTTAATGAGTTCATAGAGCATGGCAATAGCACAGACTCTGGAGCCAGGCTGCAGGGTTTAAATCCCAGCTCCATGACATCCTGGCTCTGTCACCTTGAGCAGGTTATACCCTGTGCCTCAGTTTCCTCATCTGTAAAATTGGAGTCAGAGTATTTATTTAATATGGTGGTTGTGAGAGTTACTTGGGTAAATGTGCAGGAAGCCCATATCACAGTACCTACATTGTAAACATAAGTGTTGGCCGACACTAATGCTAATAATTTTGATTTATATTAAAAGAATGAAAATGTTCAGATAAGAAGTAAAAGCAATCGTTAAATACCTGTGTTCTGTATATTGTGTCCCAAATTAAGTTGCATAGGCTTGGAAAACATTTATATATATTTCAAAATGTATCTTTCTCATTTGAATAATGATAGCTAGAACTTTATTATATAACAGATCCAGGTGTAATCCAGGAAGTAAGAGTTTGAATCTATATATGTGATAGCCAAAGATTGAAGTGTCCTCTGTATGGAAAAAAATTTATTTGGACCTTTTAAATATTTTGGCTGAAAAGGCTCATCAGTATTTTTCCTAAATATTTGCCTTAATCTAGATCACTCTTGCCAATAACAGATACTGTAAGAATTACATATTACCACTTCACGAACAAGGCTTGTTATTTTTTTCATGTGTTAAGAATCAATGTATAGCAAATTCTACAGCTTTAACCACAGTGGTGGAAGTATAAACCCAGCCCTGATTAAAGAAATTGCTGTCTTCCATTCAATGGCTATAAGATACTTTTCTCCACTCCTTCTTTTCATGTCCCTCTTTTCCTCCTCCTCTCTTTCTCTTCCTTCCAATTCTTGCTCCTCTGTTCCTGTATGTATATATTCTGCACAAATCTGACTCCAGTTATTCCAAATGAGTTGCCATTCTTCACATGTGCCATGCCGCCTGTTGCTTCCCTGCCCTTGCACAGGCTTTTCCCTATCTCTAAATTGCATTTCCCCTTTTCTTCACTTGGCTATGACCTATGGATACTTTAATCTTATCTTGGGCATCATCTTCTATGAAAAGCCTTCCCTAATTTCCACCACTTCCTCCTCACATGCTATGTTATTAGTCTATTCTTACTTGCCATTCCTCCCCACTAAACAATGAGTTTCCTTCTGTGGTACTGCCCTGTTTTGCCAGCTCCTGGCAACTGCCTGGAATATAATAGGTGCTCACTAGCTGTCCAATGAATGAATAAATGAATGGGCATGTTTGCATATGAAAGTTTGAAAAACTTCATACAAGTCAAAAGAGGCTAGCCTTAGTATGTATAAACAAAGTAAATATAGGTGTCTACCATTTCTTTTTAACTGAAACTAGAAAAGCTTTTGCATTTTTACAATTTTACATTGTTTAGCATGGAGTTATACATCAAAGATATGTTTATCTTCATTGAAATAGTAGCCAAAAATTACCACTGTTTATAAAAAGGTTTTCAGTTTGATGGTAATAAGTAATATCATGAAGACAAACTACTTTAGGTTTCTATTAAAGTAATAAAAAGCCATTGCATATAAATAAATATGTAGATAAATAGACAATACTTGGTAAAATAATGAAATGCTCTTGCAACTGTAGAATATTATTTTTCTCCTTTGTACTATATATTTACTCAGGTTTTCTTATGTTAGTTGATCAGACCTTTTTTTTCCCTTGGTATCATAGTCTGACATAATTATATACAGAAAGGTGATATAATCATTATTTTACAGAACAAATCCTTTTTCTGAAATCCTGTGTGTATGTGTGTGCAGATATCTCTAACAGATACCTTAATCATTTTCATTGGAATAGGAATTAAGAGTCATTTTGCAAATAAGGTAAGTCTGGGCTCCCAAAGTAAAAATTCTTGTGATCAAAATATTCATAGATTATGAGAAGTTATTACATGCGAGGCACTGCTCTAAGCACTTTACAGAAGTTATATCCTTTTATGCTGAGAGTGTTTTTATTATGATCCCATTATATAAGTGAGAGAATTGAAACACAGATTAAGAAATGGACCCAGCCTAGCATGGCAGTGCCCAGTGGCAGAGCTTGGATCAGACCCCAGTGGTCTGTCTGTAGAGCCCATGCCCTAATCATTTTGTTAGATTGCCTCTCAGATGCTTCCACTCTGCTTTCTTCCATGTACAAACTATTGTGTGCAATCCTGTATATGATGATGATCGTATTTTATTTTTTTCTGTCTGAGGAAGACTGTTATTTTTCATAAAAGAGAGTTTTCTTACGTGATATGAATTAAGGTTCATTAGGTTAGTTTTCGAAGTTGCATTCTTTGTATCAAGAATTTATTTTTCCACTGTTTAAATTCTTGGATAGATGTTGCTATTGGAGCTCCACAAGAAGATGACTTGCAAGGTGCTATTTATATTTACAATGGCCGTGCAGATGGGGTCTCATCAGCCTTCTCGCAGGTAAGATACTATTCTATTTCCAAAAGAAGCATTGGTTATAATGCGTATCCTTAAAACTTCCAGGGTTATGTGGACTTTTTTTTTCTTAATTTTCTCTTTCAAATACTTCACACTTCATTTCACCGTTTACTTACAGTGACAAATGATCTTATTTTAAGGGATTAATAATTCTTCAAACTCCCTTTTTCCATAAATAAGAGTTGTAGTTCATTTCCACCCTAGCTTATCTATTGACCATTAAATATTTGTCTTTGTATTTCATTAAATTGTATTCCGAGGTAGTATCCATATGATTCTAAAATATGCCCATTTGGATTTGATTAACTGTGTCTTCGCCTTGTGGCTAGAGCTCCATATTTCATGAAGATTGCACAGGGAGATCAAACACACATATGATACTCTGGGTTTCTTTCACTGTTGAGTAGTAAGATGACAGCACTTTAATCATGTCTCAGAATCTTACTCTGACTTCACTTGTGTATGTTGAAAAATCATGGCATTTCAGTGCCTAGAAAAAAAATGACATTCATATGCAGAGAAGAAAAGTTTTTTCCTTGATATTTGCATGGAAATATTAGCTGGCAGTTATTTTTGATTAGGCAAAAATGAGCAAATGGTTCTCCGTAATTGACATAAAAGAAATGTATTTGCCTAGTAAACAAAAATAGTAATTTTCTTAGTATGAATATCAGCTTAATATTTATAAACCTGTATGTGAACATGAAATTAGACATGTGGAATAGAAAGTACATATCTGGCTAGGATTGTTCTTGTTAAAAAGCCGGCTTTTATCAAAAGCCTCAGTCATAGGCTCCACTAAGTGATTATAGACATCTTGTTTTCCAAATTACTTACTTAATTGTTCATGTTGGGAAAGGAAGTAAATATAGAGCCTGAAGAGACCTAAGGAAGCCAGGCATGGTGGTGTGCCCCTGTAATCTCAGCTACTCAGGAAGCTGAGCTGGGAAGACTGCTTGAACGCAGGAGTTCCAGGCCAGGCCAGGTGCCATAGTGAGACCCCTATCTCTGAAAAGACTTGAGAGGGAGTCAGGACTATTTTAGAAAATCTGTACAACATAATTTTCCCTTTGCTCACAAAGTAAAGTAAATTTTTTTAGTCACAAAATAAATGTCGTCTGTTCATTTCAAGCTGGAAAATTTGTCACTCTTGGAAGTATTTGATTTAACTAAAATGCAACGTTGTTAGTAGATGTGCCAAGGCATGCCTGGGAAAGCTCATTATTTAGCTAAATCATTGCTTCTCTGGTATATTAGTATTCAAAAACTACTTCCCACTCAACTTTCCTATTTTTCAGAGAATCGAAGGACTTCAGATCAGCAAATCGTTAAGTATGTTTGGACAGTCTATATCAGGACAAATTGATGCAGATAATAATGGATATGTAGGTGAGTAATTAGTTTATCATAGTTTATAAATTGGAATAAGCTCTATTATAGATATTGCTTTATAGTGAAGTACATAATACTGGTATGAAAGACTTCATCTTACTGATAATTTTTTTATTCATTTTTAAAGTTCTCCTTAATTCAAGGATGGGCCTAAAATGATCAAGTAATTCCTCAGCTTAACAGTGTTAGCTATTCAATGTTATAGTCTGTGTTTTTGAAAAAATGAAAGCACTCATGAAAATCAAATAGATAATGAGGAAAAGAAAGAAAACTTATTTAGAAAGGAAATTTGAATGTTTCTAGTCCAAAAATTGAATTTTGTTTTAGTAAACTTCTTTTTACCATAAAGTTTATGATATATCATAATGGGATGACTGTTATACATGAGTAGATTCAGAGAAAAGAGGAATGAATTGTAAGATGTTAGCATATAGTCTCTAATTTTCTACAAGTAGTGTTTTTAGGTAGTCAAAGGTGATACGCAGTTCAGTACTTATGGCTGAAAAGTAATTCTCTTTGACTAATGATGATCATTAATCTGTGGTTTTTTTTATCCTCCAGATGTAGCAGTTGGTGCTTTTCGGTCTGATTCTGCTGTGTTGCTAAGGTAAGATTGATATATTTCACTGCTTAATGGCGATTTGGTTTAATTGTAAATGATGGGAGGCAGTGTTTAAAATCAGCAGTGGTAGTGACCTCATGATACTCTTTTGGTATTCTGAAGTTTAATTATTGCACTTTAGGGTATTTTTTTCACCTTACAGAGATATAATTAAATCATCAAAGTCAATATTTTTGGACATTTAAATAAAAAGTTATTTTTCCCCGTGCACAGAAATGTAATTAGTATGTACACACATAATAAGGAAGACTCATGAAATTACTTGGTCAATGTAAACTGACAAAACAAATACACTTCTTAAGGAAAAATAATTCTGTAATTAACATTGCTAATTTTATTTCCTTCTCAGGACAAGACCTGTAGTCATTGTTGAAGCTTCTTTAAGCCACCCTGAGTCAGTAAATAGAACGAAATTTGACTGTGTTGAAAATGGATGGCCTTCTGTGTGCATGGATCTAACACTTTGTTTCTCATATAAGGGCAAGGAAGTTCCAGGTTACATTGGTGAGTATGCCTTACAAAATTAATCCTTCATGGGGTGCGGTTCTTTCATTAATCCCAAGTCCTGTTTGGAGCCCTCACCGGTTTTCACCGTGGAGATCTTTAGAGCAGGGGCGAGAAACTACCTGATGCATACTTTTCCTCTCCATCGTCCAGATTCTTGCATTGTTCTAACTAATGAGTTGGGCACATTAGAAGGCTGTAGTTGTTTAGAGATTATGAGAAGCAAAGGACATAGTATCTCTTGCTATGTTGGTTTAAGGTAAACCAACTGAGCTTAACCCGTGAAATCTCTTTCTTCATATTTTATCCAATTTCAATAATTGAAGAAAGCCAAGTATGGTGGCTCATGTCTGTAATCTCAGCACTTTAGGTGGCTGAGGCTTGAGCCCAGGAGGTCCAGGCTACAGCGAGCTATGATCACACCACTGCATTCCAGCCTGAGCAATGGAATGAGACCCTGTCTCAAAAAAATAATAATCATAAAAATATTTTAAAAATTGAAGAAGCTAGACCTGATTCTATCTTATATAAATAATATGCCCGTTAACAATTTACTGCGACTACAAGCTCCTAAGAACCATACCCATTTCCCTATGTATAGACAACTCTCAATTATCTGCTCTGGAGAACGTATCATTGATACAGCTCATCCAAAATCATGGTGGCGAATTCCAAATCATGTATATGTGACTTTATAAGCATTTTTGCTAGCAGATTAATGTTCCTAATTGTTTTATTTAGGCTAATATGAAAATAACTACTAGTGAAACTAGCCTGTGGTAGGAGAAGAGCATATCTGGGCATATCATTTAGAGATTAATAATTCACAATATTTATGATCCTCTATTAGGACCTGTCAAGAGTTTATTGTATTCATGACCCTGCAGGCTGCTGTTATCTAAACAGCGTGAAGGGCCCACATACTTATTAAATAATACCATGGATATGTAATAGATGTCTCAGTATGCATTAGGTACACAATGAGCCTGTACCTGAAAGGTACACAATGACTCTGATATCTCTGCTTTAGATCAGACTTATTTTTAATAGTGCCCTGGAAAAGTTATGGCCAGAGCTACAGTAATAAGAGGGTGGGCAAGCCTTCATCTAGTTATTGATTTGAAAATGGCAGTTTGAGAACCTGACCACACCATAAATTACACATTAACACAGACAAGCTGATGGATAATCTGAAAGACACACACTGAGTAGATGGGGCACTTTCCTTTTATGTAAAACCAGTGTTTTCTCTACTAACAATTCCATTGTGACCAGATATTTTTTAAAATAGTTGAAGACAAACATATGAAACACATAAATAATCATCACATTATTAGAGAAACATATCTTAGAATTATCACAAAATGACTCCTAGGAGAAATAATTCACATGGCAAGCATGTTTAATAAAACCAGGACATTTTGACTCTTACTAGTAGTGGATTATTTTTCACCTCATTTTCATTTACTCTTTTTCTTAACTCAGGACAATGAACTTGTAGATAGCTATTTCAGTTGCAGTGCTATTTCTCTGAGGTATTGAATCTCAGTTATAATTTTGAAATCCAATTGACTTGGACTTCATTATTTTCCAACTAAAAAGATGACTGAAGGATTTATTTGAAATGTATAAAGAATAATATAGATTTTATGCTTGTTTCCTTGAAATAAGTAGGTAAAATTCTTCTAGAAGTGTAAGTTACTCCTAAAATATAAATGAACATGTCAAGAATTACATAAATTCTTTAAACTATCACATATGAATTATTGCTTCTATATAATGAGTGACACCTCAGAAGAATATTATATTTAGCTTGCATGGCAAAGAACCCATTTAGATTCGTGAAATGGGTCTCACTTTCTTGGTAAGATCTGGCTGGGAAGTTTTTGTTTGCTTTTTAACAGTTCTTTCTCTTCTTTTCTTTTTTTTTTTTTTAATAATTTGGAGATCTTCATGAGCAGATGAATATTTACTATGTCAGATTTGAAATAAACCCTGCCAAACCGCTAGAATATTTATTGAGAGAATTTTTTTAAAAATTGCACAAATTAACACTGGAAGGTCAAACTAGAAACCAATAACATGTAGAGGAAGGACAGATAATCAGGGCATAAGACTGGAAAGATGACATTTTTAAGAAAACCGTATACATAGATTTGACTTAATCATGTGTTCACTTCGTGTATAAAAAATAAAAAGCCTTCAGATCAAACAAATCTAAAATTTAAAAAAAGTCATATATAAAATTAGTCATATAACCACATAAGATAGAATTTTTCCAAGTAACATTTGAGCAAAGCGCTGTGTCTATACTTTCTTAGTCAATGTTCTGAGGAAAAAATGACTCCAAAGGATTCTGAACCATTATGCAAGACTTTTATTAGCAACAATGTTTACATTTTTATATATAGGAGGTTTAAGCAAATAACTAAAGATTTTAGTGTTAATAGAAATCTAGAGGAAAGTTCATAAATCTTTATTTATAAAAGCAATTTGTAAAATTTGTATTTTTAATTGTTCCCTCTTTCATATTTCAGGTTAGTCTTTAAAAAGCTGTTTAATAAAGAGAATTCCAGATATTATTTCCAGTAATCTATATAACTTTGACTATTAGCACTTCAAAAATAACAATAGATGTATTTCAGTAAATAGATTAACTGCGATTCTCTATATTTTTGCAGTTTTGTTTTATAACATGAGTTTGGATGTGAACAGAAAGACAGAGTCTCCACCAAGATTCTATTTTTCTTCTAATGGAACTTCTGACGTGATTACAGGAAGCATACAAGTGTCCAGCGGAGTAGCTAACTGTAGAACACATCAAGCATTTATGCGGGTAATGTAAGCTATTTTTTATTAATGAATATGTGAACTTCAATGTTGTTGATAGAGAGCAACTTATCGTATTGGTGTCTTTTTATAAAACGTAGATAAAAGCAACTGTTACCCCTCCTAAACTATGACCTTGTTGCTCCAGTTAAAGTATTAGACAGTCTCAACCCAAGTAATTCAGAGTCCTCTTATTGTATCATCCTTTTTCACGTTTATCACATTTGACCTCATCATTTGAAAACACTTGCCTTTTCCTTTCTAAAATTTCATTTTTCCTATCCCTTTTATCTACTTGCCTAGAAATACACATCTTCAGTAGCTCAACTGAACCTCAAATCTTTTCCATGGTACGTTTTTTGGGGTGGGTCAGGGGAGGCGGGGAAGTTAGTTTGTTTTTCATAGGACTCCAGTGAAGCAGAATACAACATGGCTGCTTTTGGATTATGTCTTTGTCTCCGTGCCAGCTTTGTCAGTGATGTCAGTGGGAACTCGCGCAGTTGTAGCATGGTGGGGATCATCTGTGGGCCAGGACGACAGCTCTCATGATGGTTTGGGGTATGTCCTGCCAAAGCACAGTCGATTTCATGTTTCTTTTATTAAAACACTCACTCCCAAACTGATCATCGCACTCCTCACATTGGTCAAATTTTATCATATGAAGCCGTGCCAGGTCTTTTTCATTAGGGAACAGTGTACTTCATCAGAAAATCTATTCTCACAAAAAGCCAAACTATTCCCAGGAGCCCTTTCTGGGATTTCAAATAGTGGCTTCAGCTTAGGGCTTAATTTTCCCTTAGATACTTATTCCAAGCAAATGTAAGCAAGCATCATCAAGACTTCAATACACTATTAAATGCTAAGAGCAATAATCCCCATGCTATTTCCTCATTTCCCTTAACAGTTTTTATTGTTGTACTAGAATAAAGCTATTAGATGGTTCAGAGCCAAAAGTATAGAATATTAATGTAACTATCATTTATATGGTAGGAACTAAAGAGGTTCTTTTTTTCATGCTTCATAGATGTCGTTTTACTTACCTTAGTCAATTGTAGAGACAAATATTGAGATCGTTTTAAAGGTAATAAAAGGGCCAACATTAGATGTTCACAAAGAAACACGTTGTGTTAAAAATTTGCAAAAGTGATCTGGTTTATTTAGTCCTGTGTTTCTTGGCATCGTTCCTATAAATAAGGGATCATCAAAATTGTACACCTTTTTTGGAGCAAATTTGTAGCAGAAATGATTAGCAAAGGTAAGTGTTTTGTTGCATGTATATTTGTAGTGTTACCATGGTTTTGATGGTAGCAGGATTCAGCTATTGCCTTTGTACCATATTGTAAATATTAAATGATAGCACTTACTGCTGGGATTGTACATGGCAAACACAACTAATAACAGAGCTCTAACTCTAGAGCCAGTATTCTTAACCAGTACATGTTCTGTGTTACAAGAAAGATAGAGGTCTATAATGAAATTTTAGAAAGCCATTTTTTTTTTTTTAAGATGGAGTCTTGGTCTGTTGCCAAGGCTGACTTTTTAAAAATGATCATTTCCTTCAGTATCTTTTTCTCTTCCTAAATTACCTTGCTTGTGTTTGGAACACTTTTAAAACTCATATAGAAAGGCAAAAAGTTACTCCAACCCTCTCCTTTGTAACAAACCCACACAGAAGATAAGAACCATAGTTGCAGCTACCCTGAACTTGAGTTCTGTCAAGGAGCTGTAGCTGTTACTTAAGAAGGTGTAGGAATGTAATGAGTGTATTTCCCACCTCCACCAGGGTGATAGCCCAAGGAATTAGGAAACATTAACACTCTTAAGTTTCTACAGTCTGAAAGCATAAGACAGCAATCTGAATTCTTCCATCTTCCTAATACTAGAAAAGAAGATGCATAGCGGTTGGGATGCCTGGGTTGTTCCTGTGTTCCATAAAACACATCTGGTACCATGGTACCAGGAGTGGGAGTGTTAACATATGTATCTATTTTGTCTCTGCATTCCTTACAATGAAATGAAGTGACATTTGTTAATTATATACTCCGCCCACAATCCCCACTTGTCAGAGGACTCCCTGCCTGCCTGTTGGTTGGACATGCTTTACTCGTATAGTTGTCCCTACTGGCCATTCACTCAATTAATTTGGTATTTATTGAGTACTTACATTGTGTCAAATTCTGTATATACCAGTGAATGGGACATATAAAGATTATTACCCTCATGGAACTTATAGTCTACTGGGGTGAGACAAAAAAAAGATAAAAATATACATTTTATAGTATTTTGGAAGATACGGGTGATGAAAAAAGGAGGGCAGAGTATAGAAATGTGCAGTGCTGGAGAAGGAGTGAAATGTACAATTTTAAACAGGATACTCAGAGTAGGCTTCATTCAGAAAGTGACAGCTGAGCAAAGACGTGGAGGAAGTAAGGAAGTTGCCCATGTAGATATCTAGGGCAGTTGTTCTTTGTTTTAGGGTGTAATAGCAACACCTGTAGGGCTTCTGAAAACACAAATTGCTGGCCGCATCTAGAATCCCTGATTTAGTAGGTCTGCAGAAAGGCCTGAGAATTTGCATTTCTGCAAAGTTCCCAGGGGACCCATCCTTTGAGAACACCTGGTTCAGAAGAAGAGTATTCCAGTGAGAAAAGCTGAGTCAAAGGCCTGAAGAATGTACCTGGTTATTTTAAAGAACAATAGGGAGGCAAGGATGGCTAGAAATGTAAGCAAAGGGAAGAATGGTGGAAGGAGAGATTATGCAAAACCTGTGGCTTTTTCTCTGAGAGAAAGGTGGATCTATAACAGCATTTTGTCAGAGAAGTCACATGATCTAACATAGGTATACAAAGGAACACTCTAGCTGCTGTGTTGTGAATAGAGTAGGAGATAAAGAGTTGACACATGGAGAAGAGGCTACTGTGGTAACACAGGTGAGAGATGGTTCCAACAAAAGTGGTGGCAGTGGATATGGTGAGAAGTAGTCGAAGTCAATTTGCTGACATCCAATTTACAATTTGCTGACAGACTGGATGTCTGGCATCTGAGAAAGAGGCTCTATGATGACTCCAGGGTCTTTAGCCTGAGCCACTTGGAGAATGTAGTTTTCATCAATTGAGACAATATTTCAGGAGAACACCTTTTGAGTGGAAAATTCTAGAGTTCAGTCATGGGCCTGCTAGCTAGAGAGACCTATTTTAAGTGTAAATATCAACTAAGCCTTTGTATATACTCATCTTGAGTTGAGGACAGGCAGAGAACAGGAAAGGTAACTTAATATATCTTTGTCATATGGATGGTATTTAAAATCATATTAAGATGGCTGAGATCAGAAGAGGGTCAGTGTCTGCACTCTGGGCCCCTACAACATGAAGAGGTTGGCAAGAAGAGGCCCACAAGGGAGATAAGAAGGTCCAATCAGTAAGAAAGGAAGAAAATCAACAGTGTTTGGCATCCTGGAAGTGAAGTGAATAAAGCCAAAGGGGAAAGCATGATGATGTTTTCTATACGGCAGCTTGATCGAATAAGACGAGGGCTGAAAACTCGCCGTTGGATTTATAATGTGGAGGCTGTTGGTGGTGGTGACAAAAGCATTTCAGACAGTAGTGGAGGGGGTGGGGGAAAGAAAGGAATTGGAAGCGTTATAGGTTATTCTTTCAAAAGTTTTGCCTCAAAGGTGACCAAAGAAATGGAATTGGGGGTCAGTAGCTGAAGTGAAGAGTTCTCTGGGTTTTTGTCTTTTAAGACGGGAGAAGCATTAGCATGTTTTTATGCTGATAGGCATGCCGCAATAGAGTGAAAAACTTGGGATATATGTAACAGGGGAGAAGAGCTGGAACTAAATTCTTGAAGGCAAAAAGGGAAGGATTAAATGTACAAGTGAAAGGGTTGGTTCTAGATAGGTATGTGCATGGTTCATCTGAGTATGTGCTTACAGGTGCTGAGTAGATGTGATGGGGACTATGGAAGTTCTTGTCTGATTGCTTTAATAATCTCAGTGAACTAAGAAGCAAACTCATCAACCAGAGTATGGATGAAGGAAGTGGTATTTGGAGTTTGGGAAGATGTGAAATAGTCTTCCAGGAGAATGTGAGAGTAACAAAATACAGGGTGGTTGTCAGATGGTGTCTGGGACCACTTGCACTCATTGTCATAAACTGAGTGTAGCCTGTGTGTTTGTGTGTGTGTTTTTTTTTCCCCCCCAGTCACATTCAACCTTACAGGCAGGAGTAGATGAAGAGTTACAATTAACCAGGGTTGTGGTTTGATCAAGAGAGTGAAGCAAGCAAGGAGCATGCAGCAGGAGGGAATATACAAGGGAATGGTTATATTTTTGGTTGCGAAGTTGAAGCAGGCTAAGGAGGGGAGGGGTCACACCAAGAGGGTGAAGGACCAGGAAAGAAATTTCAATCGGAGATCCCAGTACAATCAGCAAATTGTTGGAATTGACTATTAAAGGGATTGAGCTGCAAAGATGGCACAGATATAAAATGTAAAAGCCTTGGAGACCTAAAAGTGAGGAAAAGATTGAATTTTGCTTTTATTTTTGCTGACAATTCTTTGATTACCTTATGCAAATGAAAGCCTTTAAACTTTATTACAAAATCCATTGTGTTCTTTGATGGTGGGGAATTCGGCTGTCAAAAAGACTCCAGATCTTAAGTTTATATAAAATTTATGTTTAAAAACTTATTCTCTTTTAATCACAATTCTTTAGTTTTATGCTAGATCTTCTTGGACTAGAGGTGCATTTTTAATAGTCTAATAAGGATCTATATCACTGTCATGTAGATTTTTGTTCTGGCATGTTATTTTTCTGAGGCTATGTGTTCATTTATCTGGTTTGTAGGGGAATCAGTTTTCTTAAGTCTAATCATAATTAAAATAGTATCACACAGGATTACTTTGCTTGACTGGTCAAAATTTGTTCCTCAAAAAATAAGGAAGAAATTGTCTTTATTTTTTAATTAAAAAAAAAAAACCTTTGTATTTTAGTTGATTATAATTAGG